CCGTGTCCTGTGTCCATGTCCTGTGTCCATGTCCTGTGTCTTGTGTCCCTGTGCCCGTGTCCTGTGTCCTGTGTCCTGTGTCCTGTGTCCCTGTGCCCGTGTCCTGTGTCCCTGTGTCCCTGTGCCCCTGTGTCCCTGTGTCCTGTGTCCTGTGTCCCTGTGCCCATGTCCTGTGTCCTGTGTCCCTGTGTCCTGTGTCCTTGTGTCCTTCTGCCCGTGTCCTTGTGCCGCTGTCCCCTGCCACTGTCACCTGCATCCTTTTACCCCTTTTCCTTGGGTCCCCATGTTCTTGTGCCACTGTCCCCTTGTGTCCTTGTGCCTCTGTTCCCTCATGTCCTTGTGCCCCTGTCTCCCCTGTCCTCATGTCCTCGTGTCACTGTCTCCATGTCTCTGTCACCCATGTCTCATGCCCCTGTGCTCCACATTCCCCTGCTACTGGTCCTTGTGTCCTTGTATCACTATTCCTTGTGTCTCCATGCCCCTGGCCCCCATGTCCCCTGTGCCACTGTGCCTCTGTCCTCATGCCTCTGTTCTCAGTGTTCCCACACTCCCTGTGCCTTCCCATCCCCTCCACTGTGCCCTCTGTTTCCCCCATGTCCCATCATGTCCCCCTTTAGCCCTGTCCCCCCAGGTTCCCCTGAGTCCTCCATGCAGTCCTTGCCCTCCTGTCTGTCCATGTCCCACTATTCCCCACTGCACGGCCCCGTCCCAGCCCCTTGCACCCACAGGACACAGGGCAGCTGCCTCATGAACCTTCCTGGGTCCAACCCGGGGTGGTCCCAGCCCCAGCTGGTGAAAGAAGGGGCCCAGTTGGTCACAGTGAGCCCCACATGGCTGCAGACCCCCAGTGCCCTCCAGTACCAGGCCAGGGTGTGAGGGGCACCCAGATGGTGGGAGCAGTTGCCAGCCAAGGGGGACCATGGATGGCCCAGGCTGTGGCTCTCCACAGGCATTGGGGGCCCAAAATGCTGGGCAGGAGCCCTGGGAACAGACATCCCAGCACAGGGTCCACATTCCCTGGGGGACCTCTCCTGGCCAGCCGTGGTGTCCCCAGCAGAGGACTGCAGTGGCACCAGGCAGGGTCTGGCAGCAGAGACCGTGTGGGTGGTTTGACACCAAAGTCTCAGCACACACTGGGCAGCCCTGCTGGGACCCCAAATCTGGGGAGTTTTGTGCCTCTGCTGGGAACGCTGGGCTTCCCTGGCCGTCTGGGAAAAGAACATGGAAACACAGCCATTGCTGAAATGGGGCTGGAAAATGGCTTTTTCCCGCTCCCGCCCTGCCAGCGGCACGGCCCAGGCAGCGGTGCTCGGGGTGCCACGTGCTGGAAAGTTTGTGCCGAGGCAGTGGAGCGTGGAGAGGCCAGGGCTATTCCTGGCTCCCAGATGGTGTTTGGCTGAAGCGGGCTCTTGGTTTTGGCGGGCTGTAATTTTAGCACAGCCTGTTCCTGCGCTGTGGGGCTGTGGTCAGAACAGCTGCCAGTTCAGCTGGGGGGCCACCATGCACATCAGCACCCCCTGCCCACCCACAGCCAGCCCAGGGTGCCCAGCCAGAAGTGCCCAAAGCATGGCAGAAATGCTTAAACGCAGTGTTCTTCTTCCCTGCAGTGGCTGCAGAGGAAGGGGAAAGGGCTGTGGCTCTGGTGGTGTGTGTGCAGGGTGAGGAGCTGCCAGAGAGGGTGTCACTGGCCAGGGTAGAATCATAGAATTGTTATGGTGAGAAAAGCCCTCGAAGATCATCGAGTCCAGCCTTCAACTAACACTGCCAGCTCCACTGTTAAATCGAGTCAACAAGCACCACGTCTGTAGGGTGCAAGGTCCAGCCTCAGGGTGCACCCCACATTCCCCTCTGATTCCCCCCACCCTGCCTGCAAAAGCAGGTACTGCCCAACCCGGATGTGGAGGGGGGAGAAGGCAAATTTGGCTGAAAATCCTCCCTAACTGGGTGAGTCAAACCCTCATGTTCCCTCCTAAGGGCCTGGTGAGGACCACAGCAGCTGCCCCTGTCACACCCCTCAGCCACCACTGCCACAGCCTTGCTGTCACCATACCACCACCATCACCCAACCTAGAAATTTCTTAACATTAAGCTAAAAAATCCACCCTGGGAGTTCTAATAAGGGCTGCAATTCAAGGACCACCTTTCTCCAGACAGGCAGCACCAGCCCTGCACTCAAATCTTTCTCCATTAGTGCACCTATCTGGGGGTCAGCAGCTCTTTACTCCAAATATGAGAGAAAACAAGGGTTTGCTGGGTGCCCAGACCAGGCTGAGGCTCTGCTGGAAGTTGTGTTTTATTACCACAATAACCCTGAGATGATAAATATTTTGAAGTAGAAGAAAGGTGTTTATTTTTGAGTTAGTTCATCTTGTTTACAACCTGTTTAGAAGCCTGGGCATTTATCTTTGGGGTTGTTTACTGGGCTCTCCCCAGGCTGTTACAGGGTTTCATACACATTTATATAACCCCCAGCAAGGTATCTTCCTGCCAGCTGCATGTGGTGTCAGTTGCTGTTTTGACACAGCTATGCAAATGGTTGCTCTTGTTTTCACAAATGGGCTTGAATGCTCAGGTCCTGTTTTTACTACACCAGCCTCCAACATTTATTTATTTCATTTAATTCCCTTTCAATTGCAGGGTGATAAAACTTTGCTTTGGGCTCTCTGGCTGTCTCCAGCTGGGTGTTTGACCTGGGGTTGCCCAGCGGTGTTTGATAGTATTTTTTCATAACTTGTATTTTATCATTCATATCTTGTATTTTATTGATGTATAACCTGTCTTTTACTCATTTATTACCTGTCTTTTGTTTCTCAGACTTGGGGAAACTTGCCCCACATTTTGTGAGCCTGCAGGCTGCCCCTGTACCTTTCAGAAAGTTGGACTGAGGGATGAGCCCAGTGAAAGGGCTGCCTGGCAGCAGGCAGGGACTAATTAGTTTAATTCAGTTAATGAGAGAGGATTCAGGGTGACCTGGCAGCAGGGTAGCAGCAGGAAGCCTCAGGCTGGTCCCCCTGTGGTGGTGGCCAGGGTGAGAAGGGTATGATGGGAGCAGTGTCATTGTCTCCCCTGGCCCCAAACCCCACAGGTGAGGGGTCAGTGGTGCCCAGCCTGGTGGGCCTGGATGCACTGGGATCTCTGGAGGGGGTGTGTGTGCATATATGTGTGAGCATGTGCAGCAGCTGGGACATCCCACACTGGGGCAGGGACCACCCTGTTAGGCAAGACCCCACTGGGGGTCCTGCCAGAGACCCTTCAGGGGACATCCAGGCTGTGGACACACACCCTACCACGGCACAGAGTCCCACTAGCCTTGGCAGTGGCCCCCAGTGAGTCCACCATCCAGCTGGTTCACCACCACCACCACCCATTTTGGGCAGCATCAGGCCAGCCCAGGACCTCTCCCCCCAACTCAGGGACTGACGGCCCCATAAGGTGATGGCCTTGCAAGGTGACAGCCTGGCAAGGCAGAGGCAAGAGCTGCCACCATCTTAGGCTGAGCCAATTCAGGGCGTGGTGCTTGCTTGTCTTCACACGTCAGCACCCACTGGAGA